CATTGTAGTCATACATTTATGAGAGAAACTCTCTGAAAACTAATGGGTTTTTTTTCACACGGAACCACATTGCTTCACTTTGCAAGGCTGAAACATCATACACACCTCTGCCATGCATTATGCATGCAGTGGAAAATTATATGAGACTTCAAAATCCGATTTAGCAGTGAGGAAGTACTCGAGAGTTTAGCCCACAATAACTATATTATCACTCACCTTAGGAGACTTTGCCGTGAATTGGGCACATCCAGAAGAAAACACCAGAGTGATTTAGATTTTTTGTGACATTAATTTCAGGGAATTTCTGATTTTTGTTTTTGTAAATTTGACACTTTCATCTTGGATTTTTTTTTCTGAGTTTAGTCACCACCACCCTGCATCTGTATTTTTGGACACTTAAAATAGTCAATCTAAATATGTGAAAACACTTAGGATAATTAAATTCTAGCCTACAGATGGGCTACATCTAAGACACTGGCCCGTTAATTAATTAAGATTCCTCTCTAAAATCACAGAGGCTGCAGGGTCTGAACGTAATGCTGTTGTGTTAAGAAGAAATTCATTTCAGCTGCAACCTCAGAGGAACAAATCAGGATGAAATCTAATCATATTTTATCAAGTTTTGTGTATTAATATCCTACTTCTCATCATTAACACTGAGTGCAGATGTGGTGTGTAGTCCACGTATACAGGGTAACCTTGAGTTAACCACGAACATAACCTGCTCGGAGCAGTTTAGAGATGCAGTGTAAATGCCATGGCAACTGGCCTTTGGGTAATATATCCACCTTTTGTAGTGCAGGTTAATTAAAGTTACTCCTGAAGTTAGGGTTAGTGGATAAGCCAGTTACCTCGCTTCGTAGTACAGGCCATATATCTTCACAATCCAGAAATTAGGCTATGTCAACAGTATGACGTAGCAATAAACATAGTGTATGTTGAAAGTCAGTCAGATTACAGTAGCCTACTATCATGCACTATACTTAAATACAGTAACTCTTCTGCAGGATGATGCTGAGGATGTTTTATGAGTCTGTGGTGGTCCGTGCTATCCTGTTTGCTGATGCATGCTGGGGCAGCAGGCTAAAGGTAGCGGACGCTGACAGATACAACAAACTGATCCGCAAGGCCAGTGATGTTGTGGGGGTGGACTGGACTCTCTGTCGGTTGGGTCAGAGAGCAGGATGCTGTCCAAACTACATCTTGGACAATGTCTCCCACTCACTCCATGACGTGCTGCTCAAACACAGGAACACTTTCAGAGATACTTATTCCCCCAAAATGCAACACAGAGCGCCACAGGAATTCATTCCTGCCTGTGGCCATCAAACTTTACAACTCCTTCCTCTAAGTGTCTGACAAATGGGCATTTAGTTAGTTATTCGACTGGACATGATCTGTTTTTTGTGCACTATTATCTGTCAATAATTAATGTGCAATACCATGCTGCAATTCTGCTGCTATTTATGTTCTCCATTGCAATTCTTTAACAATGTAAATATTGTACATATCCATACCCCTTTATATTTTATGTTTATACCCTTCTATTTATGTTTCTATATCTACCTTCTATTATTTCTATTAATTTGCCTTGATGTGCAATGCGTACAACTATAACAAGAATTTCCCCTCTGGGACCAAATATTAAGATAAAGTATTTCTTTTGTCTGTAAACAGGAGATCATTTCGGCCCTCAGCCTGATGAGGTGAGTGTTTCATCATCAGTCCCTTTAAGAAATGACACAGGAACATTTATCTCATATAGCCCCAATTAAAACTGTCATCACAGGACTGTACTGTCGGAATGACGTGCAGACTGCACGGGTACTGTTATTACAACATGAAACACAGCAAGTCAGTGCTGAATGCTCTGGTTGATATTACAGCCTAATAATCTGACGTCAGCAGCTGTTTGCACTGTTTCGTCACGATTGTAGCAGGTGAATTGGTGATTGGCTCGGCTCCACCGGACCGTGTAGCTTCTTTAATTGTGCTGTATTGATTTACGAGTGTTTTCTATGATGATTGATGACAACCCCGTGTCTGGAGATTTGCCTCCTGTGCAACTGTGCACAGCTCTCTGAACTGGGAAACACTACTTCATATTTCACCCAGACGCTACTCAGTGTTCCTTTTTACGACCCTGCTGCCCATCCACACATTACATTCAACACTAACATCACAGATATCAAAGTGAAATGACATTAAGGAATGTTGTTAGAACAGCTTTATGAGGCGCTACACAAAAGGTGAAGGGCAGAATGTTGGATCGCGCATTTGATCATTTAAATACAACTTATGAATACAAAACCCTGTAGAGAGTTCTGCTCTCTGCTGTTGTAAAGTCAGCAGCGTGTCACGCCTCTTCTAAACATCACGGCTGCCAAAAAGACTTCCACAATAGATACACCGGTATATTTTAGCTTAGTTTCTCCAGCAAACCTCCTCACTCCCCGGGGTGCATTTTAGGAAGATATCTGGGTCACAGGCTTGAGGTGGTAAGGAGGCACAAATTAGGGAAATGAGAAATGTCATCCCCTCTCTCTTCAGTTGTTCTATCCAAAATAAAAGGCAAATGCCCCAAAAACATAACTTAAGAAAATGTTTAAAGCCAAGTGTGGCGCGGCGGACCAGGAAGGGGGGAATTGAATGAAAGCCGCCAAAAATGCCACCTAGGGACTTGCACCCCAGGAAATACTATTTAAACCTTGATTAATTGAAGGAGAATAAAGAGAAAAAGGAACGTTACTGATGAAACAGACCGTGATTCAAAATATACCAAAATATAGTTTTAATCAGCAAAGAAAACAATCTGGGACTGAAACTGCTGACAGGAAAAGAAATGTGAACCAGCAATAAAAACTATTATAAAATGGTTGATAAGACAACTTTTATTACAATAAATAGTTAAAAATAACTTTAATATAAGTTCAAAGTTGCTGCCTGGAGGAGAGTGAACGTTTTTTATTTTATCTTTTCAGGCTTTTAGAAGAGATACATTTAGACAACAGGTTCAAAAAATACACCAAGAATATCTTTACATTTCAAAAGTCATGATGAAGCTTTATTGCTCTCGTGGAACATGAGGCCTTTGTTGTGTGTGGCTCTGATGCAGAGAGCTGAAGGCCTCACTCGTGATACAGATCTCAACTACAGGAAGACCTCAGCCATGTTACAGACCTCACTGATACAGACAGAGCTGTTTGTCACCACAGTGCAAAGTGCCACAGTGGGCCTGTGGGGTTCATAATCATTTGTATTCTTTATTGCAAATATTAAACCGTTTGATAACTTGTGTGTTTAATTTTTAGACATTTAGCATTCTGCTGGAGACGTGCAATGATCAAATTACGTCCAGAGACTTTGGTCTATGTTTGGTGTTTTGTGGCCGTTGCTGACATTGTGAAAGCAACTCACTAGAAAAAATAGCATGCAGCTGAAGGCCAGCCCTCCTGTGGTTATGGCTCCTCTGATAGCCTGAAAAATACAGAACTTAAAACCTGTGAATAGTTTTTAACACATGATATGTTGTTACAGACTTCCCAAATGTATGTAACTAAGAAAAAATAAAATGATCCCAATTTCCACCAACTACAATATAAAATGCTGCAAACATGTTACTGCATCAGTATTAATTATGCAGTAATAATGAATACTAATTTAACATTAGGGGGCAGTCTAATTTAAAATGTATACTTTTACTTTTGATACTTTAAGAGGAGCAGTTCTGAACAGTTCTGTCCTGAGTCTCTCTGGTGTCAGAACACTATTTAGCATCATATGTGATACACGTAGGTTGAAAAAATATTAAAATGAGGTGTATTTACAGTGACTCATGGCAGCTGTTTAGGTTCAAAACACAGATCTATGGATGGGCAGGCAAGTAAAAATAAAGCTGTGTAAATCAAGGTTTTTATTTTATGTGTGCGTCTCTGATTAAGATCCATCATGTTGCTGCACTGACTGAGTACGTAACAGTAGAGATGGATGGGACTGCTGTAGCTGTGCTGTGGTCTGTCAGGTCTTGACAGCCTGATGCAGAGTAAATGCCCTCAGGCTGAGCAACTGTCACACTTCTTCAGGCATCTTTTCACAAGTTGGAAAGACACTGATGCACCGTGTGGCAGTAACCTGGTGGTGTAAGTCTGAAGTGTTAAGTGTGACCTGTGAGGAGGGGTGTGGGGATACAGTCTAAGAAGAGACGGATTTATCTCTATGTGCATGTGCTCAGATCTTTACAAATGCTATAAATTATATATTGTACCTTTACATTAAAAAGGTCTTCATTAAGTATTTTTGGTTCTGTGGGAACATGAAGACCTTTGTTTGTGTGGTTATGATGCAGAGAGCTGTTTCATGACTGAGGTCTCAACTACAGGAAGACCTCAGCCATGATACAGACCTCACTGAGACAGATAGTGCTGTTTGTTACAATAGTACAACAATGTGCAGATGGAGGTCATGCAAATTTGTTTTTACAAATTCTATGAATAATTTTAAATACATTTCCTGTTTAGCATATCTTTACACACGTCCATGATATGACAATAAAGTTAAGTAGTTGAGTTTCCACAGTGATGCATTTGACATTTTATAAATCCTTCAGTTTAAATGTTTCTTATTTTGTCTATTTGACAGAAGACAGTACACAACTGTTCATTGGTTGACTTGAGATTTTATTCCACAGAGCTTGGAGTCAACAGGCCTCATGATTTTCACCTCAGCTGTGCTCAGACCACACTCTGCTGTCTCTTCCTGTTAGTGTACCTCACTCACTCCTCCACTGCTGCAGACCTCCATTGGTTATCAGTGTCCCTACTGACTCCTCTTCCATTAAACACCAATAATATTCTTTTGCTCTCTATCTAAGACAAACAAAGTACATGAGAAAAAGACTTTGGTTGGAAAATAGAATTATAATTGAAATATAATATAATATATATATATCTTTTAGTAGCAGTTTAACATGATAAATCATCAGTTCCAATCTGACCTGCTGTTTCAAATGTTTCCTGAGTCTATCTGGTGGCAGCATACACAACATTTGGCTCCATCTGGTTTTCTGATTCAGGCCTTCTGCTGCTTTTTGCTTTTGGGCGGAAACTCAGCGCTGCATAGTTCAGGGCATCTGAGCCCACATTCTGTAAATAAAAATATTTATCGTCACTCATCTCACATCTCTGACTTTGTGAAAAAACATAACATCATAAAATCATAATTGACTTTAACCAGACTTTAACATGTAAAATAGATTTTAATCAACCTTAGGTCAACATGTGATTACCTCACTGTGTTGTAGACTCTGTCCTTCTTCATGAGCTAAATGACAGAAACATATGGTCATTTAATTGATATTGTAACAATTAATCTAAATTTTGATGTTTTGACAAACAGGAAGTTCTGCATTTGTAACAAAAAAAACATGTAAGTACCTGCAAGAAGTTTCCTGATTTTGACGACCAGACCGATGACGACAATAACGAGGAACATTATCAGAGCACCAAAGATCACACTTGTGAGTTTTGTTCCTCCATCAAATGCTTCTACAAGAAATATCAATAAGTTAAGTTGTTGCCTATTTTGCCTTTGGAGACTTAAGACCAGGCCAAAATTAACTGAATTGGACATAACTGAGTTTAGCCAAATGCATTTACCTTAAAACATTTGATAATCTGCACAATGAAAGACATTTTCAGGAGAATCTTACTTTTACACTTGCTGTCCACGTCACCATGGGGCTCATCGCAGCCTTTTAAAAAAATGAACATAGCTTGGTTATTCCATCAAATACTTCTACAAGAAACCTATTTAAATTAAAGCTGCAAGCAGGGTTGGATGGGTCCTCATGCTGTGACACATATCAGAGCTTGTTGTGGCCGCTGTGTAGTTACCGGAGGTTGTTAACGCAGATCTGAATTATCACGCACTTTGGAAGCCTCACGAAGGAATTAAACGTGTTGATAATTGTCACACACAGGTTATTTCATTTTTGCCAGTAGGTGGTCCTCTGACATTGTGTACATTTTGGCATGTAGATGTGTTTAGGGTGAAGTTATAAGAATGACATGGCAAATCATTGATTTTCTATGCCACAGACAAGCCCTTTGACAAAAACTCCCAAATAGCAACATTTTCAGCAGATGAATGTAAAAACAGTCTTTTAGCATCAAACTCTGGGTTATGGCCCCAATAGGCTTTTTTGTGTGTCCTGGGTTGATACATGAGTCACAGAAATTTTGTACATCCAGGTGAAATGGGGCGCAGTGGCTGCTTTGCTGAAGGGTCACTTCTCGTTGCTAGTAGGTGTTGCTATGAGTATGAATGATTGTTGGTATGTAGATGTTATCAGGACGGGACAAAAGTATCACATTTGGTCCAAGCATGTACACTGAAGTTCCTGATGAACAACTTCCCGATTTGTGGCGACGCATCAAACTTCAACACAACACTACGGGCACACTGTAAAGATTCACAACATAGCATCATCAATGTGTTAAGGCTTTTTCTGAGAACGTTTTGAAGTGAATGTGGCCAACCTGCTAGGGGCAATAGATCATGACATAAAATTTGTTATTTTCTGTTGACAGTAGGTGGCGCTATGATTTAGAGTAAATGATGACACATGGATGTGTTCATGGCGAGACTTATTATCATACATGTTAAGCTTGGTACAGATGTAAGCGTGTTGACTGAAGTTATAACAACTTCATGTTTTGTGGCAAATGGTTGTTGTTCAACTCCCATGCCACGGGCACGCCCATTGATGAAAACTTGCAAAACTTTTCATCATCAATGCCTTTAGACTGCACAGCAAAAAATTTGAAGTTGATCAGATTCATTCTCTAGGAGTTTGCTGAAGTGCGGAACTTGAGAATCACCAAAAATGACCGTTTAATTCAAAACGACCGACTTCCAGTTGGGTTTAGGGCATCACCCCCAGAGGCTTTTTTGTTGGTCTGGACATGATACTTCTGCCACAGAACCTTCGTATAATCTGATGAAACGTGGTCCAGGTGCTGCTTTTTAGGGGGCACCAGCGAGCCACTTCGCCACGGCCTTTCTTGAAAACCCAATGACACGTAAATTTCCGCCACGCTTGAATTTTGTATGAAGATTTGTGAGTTTTTGAGCATGTTTAGGCGGCAAAAAATGCAATCCATTTTGGGGGGAAAGAAAGAATTGAGTTTCAGTAGAGTCCTTGCATGTTTCATGCTTGGGACCAAATTAAACTTTTTGTTTAGTATTCTACCTCTTGTGGGTTGAGTTCAGTCCTTATTTTGACAATGAATGAAAAGGGTATATATCTGTTTCTTTACAATCAAAAGACAGACAACACTTTACAGCAATCTTACCTTGAACCTTTAAATAAGTTGCACTGACAATTACTGAGTTTCCATTTGAGTAAAATCCGCAGAAATACAGTCCAGAGTCAGATAAATCCACTTGTTTGATCTTGAGAAAGATGGTTGTGGTGTTGGACGTCATATTAAATTTGTTATTTTGAAATCCATCACAGAACGTAGCATTGGTATCAGAGCTGAACATAGAGGAGATGCAGCTGGCATTGGGTCTGTTGTTCAGTCTGAACCAGTTTATGTGAGAGGGTAAACTGCTAAAGTTGGAACACATCAGTTTGACTTCTTCACCAGGCTGAACCTCCACAGTGTGAAACTCAGAAACTGAGACAGAGATCCAACCTGAAACAAACAACCAGTAATTTATTCCCTAAACTTGTAATTCAACAGGAACCGAACAATCAAAATAAATGTTATTAATCAATAGTCTGTAAATTTCAGCTCTGGCAGATTACAATACAGAAGGAAAACTAGCAATTGAGAAGAAATTAGTTGTTGTACTTACTGAAGGTAAAGAGTAAAGCTGTTACCAAGGTAAAGTTCATCATCGTGCGTACAGTTTGACTGCATCACTGCAATGTTTGTAACTGAACTGTGCTGCAGTAAGAGTAGTCTCAACGTAAAGAGGCGGAGTGTTCATTTTTTTATTCAGACTGAAAATACAAAAGCTTTCAGGAAAATAGTTCAAGTTAAGAGCTGCAAGGAGAAAGGACAAAGTTATTATCTTGATGAAACTTGAGATAATCTAGGGAATGTTTCAGCAAAAGTTTAGAAGTCTATACAGTGTAAGAAAATCTACTCTTTGATGTTCATCAACTGTTCTTTTACGATACCTCATCCAGTACTGTGTTGTTACACATATATTAAGCAGATGTTTTAACTGAAAGCTTATGCTTTCATTGGACTACTTGTTGACACTCCACAGAGATTTAACCCTTTGTTTTCTCTCTTAGGCTGAGCTGTAGATACATAGTGATAAAAAAAAGACAATGAAAAAGGGTCCTGATGTTTTGATAATAATAAAGTTCAGGTTCTTTGCTGATTACAATATTTTCACATCAGGACACTTCAGAGTTTCATATCATGCTTGTATACAGAACCATAGGCCTGGGGGTACAAGGCAGACTGAATATGCAGGTGCCTCTTGTGAAGAGGGCCACAAAGATAGAAAATGCCAATGTACAGGGTCCAAAATGTTGTGCCATGTGCCTGCTTGTATACACCATGACCGCTTATCTCAGGCAGAAAGTGTGGTTATATTGTTGTACATTTTGTGGATGTAACGTAACATGACGCAGATTATTGTGACCTACAGTTTAATATATAAGAGACTCATGTTCACCATTCTTAAACTTGTCTGTGGTCATGTTACGAGAAGTTTACACTTCAACACAAAGTAGTTTGTTCCCTCATGTGATTGAAACTCATGGTTAAACAAATCTGTAAAAATATATCAAAGCCAGTCATTTTCAAATTAACATCTAACCACTAACCCAAGGACAAACATTTATACATTTTGTCAACCTTAACCTTATAACTGACATGACATTGTGCTGTACTGTAGTTACTTCACACATTCATAGTATTGGAATTTAAAATTGTAATTCTTACAACAAAAAGTATGCAATTTAAAACCAGCATTATGTTTGGTAATGTAATATACACTCAAAATAATTTGATCAAATGATTGTATCAGTAATAACAGTTCACTCTTACCTGGCTGATGATAGTTATAGATTAATGTTTGTAAGGCTCAGTAGGTTCAAATGCGTCTCACAGTGGAGATGGATGTGATGTTCACCGGCTGTGGTTTTGCTGTGATCTGACAGGACTTAAAAAATATACTTTCTATTTGTTGGAAACATAAAAGCATTTTTGTGCATGGTTAAGATGCAGAAAGATGAGGACTTTGCACCTCATGGTCGAGACCTTTTAATGATACATAAACTGTTTGAACTGTGATGAGGGGAGCAGTGACACGGTTTGAGATTGATTTACCACTAACAACATGATCGTCAATCACATTTCCTCTAATACAAAAATATCTTTATAAAGTCTTTCTATTGTTTGGGAACATAAAAGGCTTTTTGTGTGTGGTTATGATGCAGAGAGCTGAGCTTCTCATGATTGAGACCTTTTAATGATACATAAATAGAAACCTCACTGAGACAGGTAGTGGTTTGTCACCGCAGTGAAACGATGGACAACAACCTGAACTGCATTTTTTCTTCAGAGATTTACCGTGTTATCACATACATATATACTTTTACATCACAGTTGCTATATTGATGTACTGTGTGTTTTTTTCAAAGAGTTTTCTACAAATGATGTATAAATGATTTTGTCTTCCTGACAGAAGAAAGTCAGCCAGTCTTCACTTCTTCATTTCAGACTTTATTCTCACAGAGCTTGGACTGAACAAGCTTCATTATTTTAACCTCAGTTGTGCTCAGACCACACTGTGCTGTCTCTTCCTGTCAAACAAGTAATGTGTACCTCACTCACTCCTCCACTGCTGCAGACAGCGTTCTTTCTGGCTCCTGCTTCGTCAGACACCAATCATATTCTTTAGATACACATTAAAGAGATAAACTGTCCGAGAAAGGTAGTGGCATGTGTGGGAACAACCAGCAGGTGGGAATTAAATTGCAGCACCAACAAAATGATTACACATTCTTTATGAATATAGAATCTATCACAAAAGTAGATTTTATTTGACCAAACGATGCTAATTCCAGCTCCAGCATGAGCTGCAGTTAATTTTAGCTGTCTACCTGCTGGCTACCTGCTGGCAGAATAAATAACACAAGTTTCCACTTCTCTCTCTGATGCAGGCCTCCTGTTCCTTATTGTGGTTGAAAACAAAGTCAGTGCTGCGTCCTTCAGGTCATCAGAGTCCAGATTCTGTAAATAAAAGTATCTTCAGTCACACATCTTAAACAGCTGAGTTGGTGAGAAGAAACTAATTCACTTATAAATTACCCAAAGTGACCCAGGATCACACTTCACGGGATGTTCTTCACGAGAATTTTCTACAGGAGATATTATTAAATTAGACTCTCTGTACAGTATGTTATCAGTAGTGGTTTAAGATCTGACTAACATTTACATGGACAGACCTGAGTTTGTTTGTTGGAAGCTGAAACAGCTCATCCATAAATGCCACAGTGAAGTAACGTTCAATCAAAGCAAGGCAGACTCTAAAATTTACAATAAAAAATATAGAGAATCTGGTATCTGGTATTAATGTTATTTTTCATAGTATTACATCAAAGTCTGTACTTTCCAAACAAAAGACAGAAAACACAACAATCGTAGCTTGAACCTTTAAATAAGTTGCACTAAGTATGTGAGAGGGCGTGCTGGTAAAGTTGAAACAGATCAGTGTGACTTCTTCACCAGGCTGAACCTCCGCAGTGTGAAACTCAGAAACTGAGACAGAGATCCAACCTGAAACAAACAACCAGTAACTTATTCCCTAAACTTGTAATTCAACAGGAAACAAACATCTGTAAATTCCAGTTCTGTCTAAACAATATCAGGAAGAGTAATCATTGATGTTCTTTGCTTTCATCAGCTGTTCATTTCCTGTATCAGGATACGTCATACAGTAGCGTGTTACTACACACATATCCAGCAGATGTTTTCACTGAAAGCTTATGCACTCATTCAACTAGTTGTTAACACATCACTCCACAGGGTTAAGACATTCTGAAGCGTTCTGATGTGGAAAATATTGCGATCAGCAGAACCTCAATCATATTATTATTAAATAACAGGACATCTTTTCTACCGGTATTTACAGATCCGCCACTTCTTCCTAAAAGAAATAAGGATCCATGACTCTGAACCCTCAAACATATCTCAGACACTCACTGATGCTTATAACTCAAAAAATACCAAAAGTACCATAAACACTGTTATGACCCTGAGAAACTGTACAGGGGCTTTATCTCAATGAATATATGTTCAACCAATTACATAAGACAGCGCTGGGAAAAGGAAACTAACTTAAATACCACATATGATGGCTCAACATAATAAAGGCAGGAGGGTTAATTTGCTTGTTTCATGTCCACTTATCACAGGCAAAATCAGAAGCTGTGGTCATATTGTCATTTATTTTGTGGATGTTTTTTTCAGTCCACTGGTCAACCAAGTTTCATGAGTAAGAGTTACATAATCTAAACAGTAAGACCTAGACTAATTTGACATACGGTTTTATTTTGTCACATTTGAGGTGAAACTAGCAGGAGTGAAACCACAAGCACGACTCAGAGACAGCAATATAAATGGCAAAGTTCAGTGTCAAATAAACAAATCCAAACGGGCAGGCAGAAGAATCAAGAGCCGGGAAACAGTTTAAGACAGAATCCAACTGGCAGAATCCAACAAACTAAGTGTGTTTGAATACTACTACTACACTACACAATCTGGCGAAGAACTAGCGATTAGGGTCTGAAACAATTACGGAGGCTAATGGGGATAATAAGCTGCAGGTAAGGAGACAGGTGAAGGGTGTGAGGTGATGACCAGGCAGGAGGAAGAAGTGGAATCTGAAAGTTAGTGAACTTGATCAAAATCACAGTGACCATTTATGAGCTGGGGGAATTTGTAAAATACAGTAAATACCTTTTTTTGAAATTTTATTTTATTTTTTACAATTTTAAGAGACTCGCCACTAGTTACACAGTTAGTTTTCTGCGCTTATGAAAAGTTTAAAATTACAGGTGATTGGATCTCATGCTCAATCTAACCTCTAAAAATATATCAAAGGCAGAAAATTTCACATTAAAATAATTATATGACAGTGTGCTTTACTGGAGTTACTTTATTCATTCATTCATAGCATTGTAAACATTTTTAAATATTTTAGAATTGTAATTGTTACAGTTTTCCTAAGTATGCCATTGAAAATCATTAATCATCATTAAGCATTATGTTTTATAATGTAATGTTCACTCAATAGTAGGTGATTAAAGGATTGTATCAGTAATAGCAGTTCACTCTTACCTGGCCAATGATGGTTATTGGATTCATGTTTGCAAGACTCAGTAGGTTCAAATGCATCTCATAGTGGAGACGGATGGGATATTCACCTGCTGTGCAGCCAAATGTGCAGCCTTCAGCAGAGTAAATGCTTTTATATGAGACTGCAAGTGTCGCCTTGAAATAGGTATCTTTTGACAAGAAAACAGTTTGTGTGGACATTGAGTCTGTTAAATTTGATCCATGATGATGGAATCAGTGACACAATTCCTGACTGTTACAGACTGATTTACCACTAACAAGATGCCCAACAATCACATTTCTACAAATATAAAACATCTTTGCTTTATAAAGTTTGTCTGTTCTTTAGCAACATAAAAGTGTTTGTTCTGAGTGTTTCTGATGCAGAGAGCTGAAGGCTGAGCTTCTCATGGTCGAGACCTTATTACTGATACAGATATAGAGACCTCACTAATCCAGGTTGTGCTGTTTGTTACCACAGTGGAGAAATGGACATCAATCAGCAGATTGCTGGCAAATGAGAGAATTCTTAACTAAAAATTATGTTTTTCTTCACAGATTAACCTTGTCATTATACACACTTACTTTCAAATCACAAATTAAAATGTCAGCCAGTATTTAATTAATTTCAGACTTTATTCTCACAGAGCTTTGATCTAACGGGCCTCATGATTTTCAGCTCTGTTGCATTCACACCATAATGTCTCTTCCTGTCAAACAAGTGATGTGTACCTCACTCACTCCTCCACTGCTGCAGACTTCCCTCTAAGTCTTGCTATAGGACACATTAACAATCATTAATGTCTGTCATTAATTACTGGCTCCTCCTCCGATTAAGAAACAAAACAAGTGGGAAGGAAACTTTGGCTGGAAAGTAGAATTCAAATTGTAGCAGATACAGCACAATATATATATATATATATAAGTCCTCCTTAGAAGAAGTTTGATAAATCATTAATTCCACTCTGAGCTGCTGTTCCAGATGTTTCTTGAGTCTATCTGGTGGCAGCATACACAACATTTGTCTCCAGCTGGTTCTCTGATGCAGGCCTTCTACTGCTTTTTGCTTTCGAGCGGAAACTCAGCGCTGCATAGGTCAGAGCATCAGAGCCCAGATTCTGTAAATAAAAGTATTTACAGTCACTCATCTGAGTGAGAAAACATAAAATCATTAAATGATAAATTACTTAATCCAGACAAGACACAACAATAGACTTTGATCAACCTTCGGCTAAAATATTATTACCTCACTGTGTTGTAGACTCTGTGCCTCTTTCTGAGCTAAATGACAGAAACATCTGGTCAGTTCATTGTTCAAATATTGCTGTTAATATGTTTTGACAAACAGGATGTTCTCTATTTGTAAAAGTTGTATTTTTAAGTAAATAAATATGTAAGTAGCCTACTTGTATAAAGTTTCCTGATCTTGACAACCAGACTGATGACGACCATAACGAGGAAAAAGCTCAGAGCACCAAAGATCACACTTGTGAGCTTTGTGCCTCCATCAAATGCTTCTACAAGAAATCATTAAAGCTGCTTTTCCATTACCAGTACCAGCTCGACTTGACTCTACTTGACTCGGCTTGGCCCTGCTCCGTTTTCCATTGCATATCTGGTGCGTTCCATTCGGAAGTGGGAGGTTGGAGCTGGGAATGACGTCACACCCGAGTTGACGGCGTTCAAGTTAACAAGTCGGAAAACCTTGCTCAGCCAGCCATTGTTTACAACAGCCAGGTTAGCTATTGATACGCCGGTTGACTAAAAAAAAATGTTCAATGCGACACACACACCAGCGATCCACACAGCTTTCTCTTTTTTAAGTTAAAAAGTTTCAACATTCCTCAAAATGTAAAGACTGATAAGCGGTATGAAAAGCTTCCAGCTGTGTTTTCCTCTGCCGTTGTTGCTGCAGCGGTCTGTGTGAAAAGTAAAACTTTCTGTTGCTGGCCTCTGTCTGGCGCACGCAATGATGATGCAATGAATAGTGAATATTCTCTCTGACCAATCAGCAATCTGCCTTGTTTTCACGTCACATTTTAGTATAACCTCAGCTCGCTTGGAATCTCGACAGAGGTGATACGAAAAAAGTACCTGGTAGCAGGTACAGGTACAACATTTCTACTATGGAAAACCAAACAAAGGCGAGTCGAGCTGGTACTGTGCATTGGAAAAGGGGCTTAAGTTAAGTTATTGTCTATTTTGGGTTTAGAGACTTGAGAGAAAATGAAATTGGACGCAAATGAATTTAGCGTATGTACCTTGAAACATTTGATAATCTGCACAATGAAAGAAATCTTCAGGAGAATCTTACTTTCACACTTGCTGTCCACGTCACCATGGGAATCATCACTGCCTTTTAAAGAAATTAAGTTAGCTCTGTTATTCAATCAAACGCTTCAACAAGAAACATAATAAACTTTTTGTTTAGTATTCTACCTCTTGTGGGTTGAGTTCAGTCCTTATTTTGACAGTGAATGAAAAGGGCATATATCTGTTTCTTTACAATCAAAAGACAGACAACACTTTACAGCAATCTTACCTTGAACCTTTAAATAAGTTGCACTGACAATTACTGAGTTTCCATTTGAGTAAAATCCGCAGAAATACAGTTCAGAGTCAGATAAATCCACTTGTTTGATCTTGAGAAAGATGGTTGTGGTGTTGGACGTCATATTAAATTTGCTATTTTGAAATCCATCACAGAATGTAGCATTGGTATCAGAGCTGAACATAGAGGAGATGCAGCTGGCATTGGGTCTGTTGTTCAGTCTGAACCAGTTTATGTGAGAGGGCGTGCTGGTAAAGTTGGAACACATCAGTGTGACTTCTTCACCAGGCTGAACCTCCACAGTGTGAAACTCAGAAACTGAGACAGAGATCCAACCTGAAACAAACAACCAGTAACTTATTCCCTAAACTTGTAATTCAACAGGAAACAAACAAGGCACATACAATATGTTATTAATCTGTATGTTTCAGCTCTTGCAGATTACAATATTGAAGGAAAGCTAGCTGCATTGAGAAGAAATCAGTAGTTGTACTTACTGAAGGTACAGAGTAAAGCTGTTACCAAGGTAAAGTTCATCATCGTGCATACAGTATGACTGCACCAGTATAAAGACTTTCAGGAAAAGGGCTGCAAGGAGAAAGGACAAAGTTATTATCTTGAAAACACTTGAGATGATCTAGGTAATGTTTCAGCAAAAGTTTAGAAGTCTATGAAAGATGTATCAGTCTTTATAAGTCTATACAGTATAAGGAAGTTTACTCTTCATCAACTGTTCTTTTCAGGATACCTCATGCAGTAGTGTATTATTACACATAGCAGACATTTACATATAAATGAACATCTGCTACAGTTCAAGCCCTTGCCAAATAAGCTGACACAATGCTGATTCACCACCGGGTGAATCTCTCTCTGTTTTACAGTATACCAAAGCTTTTAAATCTGGTGCAAACACACTGGTAATGATGCATTTTACATTAACCAGCAATGATTGATTTGCCAGGGGCAACCCAGTGTCATGTAGACGGTCCACTAGAGAGAATGTTTATTATTGAAAATTATTCATTGTATTATTTATTTTGTTCATTATGAATGTTTTGTTTGTGATAACATGCTCTGGCAAAGTTGTTGCACGCTGTCATGCCAAAAAACTACATTTAAATTGAAATTAAATGGAAAGACTCTTTCAAATCTTTCTCTACACAACAACAACAACAACAACAACAACAACAACATGGTTGAGCTTATTTGCTGATCACAATATAGTCCCCATCAGGATACATGATAGTGTCTTATCATGCTTGTACCATGTGCACTTATCACAAGCAAAATAAGAAGCTGCGGTTGTATTGCCAAACATTTTGTGGATGTTTTTTGCAGTCCACTTGACCCATGGTTAAACCAAGTTGTGTGAGTGAGAGTAACTGGTAATGTATCATGAAGCAGACAATGGTGACCTACAGTTCTTTCCCACCTGGCTCATACACAAGAATCACCAGCAGTGAGGTCACTGAGGTCCAGACCTCCATAATTATATGTAGGCTATAGCCTATCCATAAAATAATTTCAATAAAAAACATTTGATAACATGATCAACTTAAATTGAGGCATTAGGACCATGCGGATATTCAACCTCAAAAACTGTTTCCTCAAAACACCTAAACCAGAGAGTTTTGGGTAGTACCATTTTGTGAATTTCTGGGTGGGTGAAAATGGTGCAAACAGCTGCTGATGTCAAATTATTAGGTTGTAATATCAACCAGACCGTCCTCTGCATTCAGCACTTACCCGCTGTATTACATGTTTTCATATAGTCACAATGCCCATTATGTAGTCTACGCATGTCATTCCAACTGTATGGTCTTGTGATGACAGCTTTAGACTACATTTCAGATACATTTAGCCTAATGAATGTTTTGGTTGTGTTTAGGTGTAATTTTGGTATGAATTCTCATAAATAAGCTCTATTAAATGAAACAAAAAATCTGAACCTCACTAATTTCTAAACCCTGGTTACAGCTCTAATCACCAGCTAACAAAGCAGCACCAAAGCAACCCTTTGTATCAACAAAAGCAGTTAAATAGCAACTGAAATCTTACCTAATCAATGATGATAATGAATGATTGGATTAATGTTCGCAAGGCTCAGTAGGTTTAAATGTATCTCACAGTGGAGATGGATGGTGCCTTCATGCTTGTAGTTTTGCTCTGATCTGTCAGGTCTTGAAATGTGCAGCCTTTAGTAGAGTAAATGCTTTCAAATCAGACTGTGTAAAAGTGTCACCTTGCAACGTGCATTTTTTCACAAGATAGCAGGGATGTCAATTTGTGCGAACACCAAGTCTGTTAAGTGTGAACTAAGATGAGGGAAGCAGTGACACAGTTTGAGACTGACACCATGCTCAACAATCACATTTCCTCAAATACAGAACTAACTTTATAAAGTCTTTCTACTGTTTGGAAACATAAAAATCTTTGTTGTGTGTGGTTATGATGCTGAGTGATGAAGGCGGAACTTCTCCTGGTAGAGACCTCATTAATGAAACAGACCTCACAGATTGAAACGATGGGCAAGTACTAAACATTTGTTCTTTGAATTACCATATCATTACAAACACTTAACTTTGTATGTTTTAAACATATGCTCAGATTGAGATAAAAAAAATATAAAAAACGTGGTAGGTGTTCTGTGGAGTTTTGCACCAGTAGTGCTGTTATGCCAACATTGAAATGAGATGTTTCTGTTTTGTTTGTATCCCACACTCTACATTTCTGTGCACAAGGTTCAGCTGAATGCAGAGGGTGATAAGTGATAAATAAAGTGTGTAGTGCGTGCAAGTTAAATGTTTCATGCTGTTATACTATTTAAAGTATTCGAGAAACTAATATTTAATCAGTTATCACAGTATCTTAGGACCAATAATATCCAATCACCAATCAATTGCAATCCGGTTTTAGACCTAATCATTCAACAACAATTGCTCTCTTAAAACTTAATAATGTGTTTTCAACATCTGATACTGGTAATCTTACAGGGGCCATTTTAATTCATCTCAAAAAAGCTTGATTTGGTTGATCACTATCTACTTTTAGATAAGCTCTGTGCAATTGGTTTATCTCAAAATGCATTTTTATGGTCTAGTTTGTATCTACATAATAGAAAACAATGTGTTATCCTTAAAGGGAGAAGGTCTGATCTACTCCAGTTCAACAATGGGTCCATTTCTTTTCTCTATTTTGATTAATGATCCTCCTTTAATCTGTTCTAATTCCTTGCTGTCCGACGGACAGTGTGATCAGCAGTCTTTAACCGTCCTAGCTTGTTCAGCTGCCAAACTCAGCAGTGTAGCAGACTAGAAAAAAGAGTGTCCTCTGCCTAAAACACTTTCTCATCGGATCTGCACAAATCACGTAGGTGACCAATTTTGGTTTCAAAACAGCAAATATCGCCGAAAGGTGAAGAGTTTGAATGCGAACTGAATGTGACACCGTACCATGGAAGTATACCAATGCCCAATTTTTAACTTAAAGAAACACGCCAATGGTTGGAGGCAAGGTTGGAGAACTGAGCCACAACCTGCTTTTAAATGTAGCCATGTTCTCAGTGCTGATTTAAAGTTATAAGTAGGCTACTGCTAGGTTAAGATTCAATTCAGTTTTATTTATATAGCACCTAATCACAACAACAGCACTTATCATAAAAGAGCAGGTCTAGACCATAGTCTATGAAGTTATTTACAGAAGCCCAACAATTCCCACCAAGAGCAGCACTAGGTGACAGAGGCAAAGAAAAACTTCCTTTTAAGAGGCAGAAACCTCGAGCAGAACCATGGCTCAGGGTGGGCGGCCATCTACCTCGACCGGTTGGTGGTGAGAGAGAGAGAGAGAGAGAGAGAGAGATGGAAGGAGAGAGAGGGGAGAGAGGCAGCCTACACAATATACACACACAGAGGTACAGACAGTAAAGGTGAGGTTTCTATAGACTAAATGACTAAATGAAAAATGGTATAGATATGTATAGTAGTGTTAATGATAATAATCGTTATGTTAATGATTATAATAACAATAGGACTAGTAACAATAGTTGTAGCAGAGGGTGTCGAGCAGGAACACGGGGGCAGCAGGTGACTCGCAGCCACAGATCCGGACTGGTTAAGAATGGTAAGATTAACAAAATAACCACAACCAGACCATCCTGGAGGTAAGAACAGCAAATAAAAATTACCAGTAGGTGGTATGTCCTTATATTCAGGAACGTGAAGGGATTTATTAATTATCACATCTCCATCGTTAAAAGTAATGTTAATAGGGCTAGAACTGGGTTGATATGTGATTAAACTACCAACGGGGATTGAACAACAGAGACTCTGATAAAGTGTGTATCTCTGGTGGGGATCTCAATCAGTTCTGCATAATTAGAAATTGAAGGGACAGGCCCAGGGGACATATGATTGCAAAACCAATTTATACAAGATAGACAAATATTAGTTTGATCTATTCTGTGATCATATAATTTCGCTTTATACCATGTACGGAGGGAAAACCCTGCGCGTCCTCTTGCGCTCACAATGATGATAACAGTTTTTTTTTACCTTCCTTGTGTGACAGAGTGAGTGTAAGAGTATCAATGTCAATGAATGAGTACTATTGGAATCTGTTCATTGCAAGCTCTGACGGCTGTCATCTTGTTGTTGATCCGATGATCAGGACTGGGATACAACAACTTTGCTGACCAAACCAAGAAACATGCAGCCAAAGTCTTGCAGCGGGGTGTCAGGTTGTCTTAATTTTGATAAAGGCAGTTGGAGTTGTTAAGAACTGTCAAAATTTAACCTATTTTGAGGCCACCCACATAAGACAGAGTAGCACCCCTTGTCTTATGTGGGTGGCCTCTCATACCTTATATGCATAAGGCAAAACCTCAAACCATGACAGCTTTGTTTCATTTGTTCTTTAGTTTTGTTAGTAGCACAAATTACATATTTCTTACAAAGATTTTCAGCAAAAAATGAAAAATCCCTGGTGCGCGACCACCATCTATTTACAATATCTAACATCCCTCCTTTCGATACATGGTTGAGACCATGAATCAAAATGGATCACTCCAATTCTGAGGTCTTTACACTGGCTTCCTGTCAGTCAAATAACTGATTTTAAAATATTATTGTTGTTTTATAAAGCACTGAATGGTTTAGAGCCAAAATACATTTGTAATCTTCTGCTACGTTATGAACCATCCAGACCTCTGGGACAGGTCTGCTTTATGTCCCCATGACTAAACATGGAGAAGCATCGTTCAGTTTTTATAAATCTGGAACAAACTTCCAGAAAACTGCAGATTTGCTGTAACTGTCAGTTCTTTTTAATATCTTACTGCACTGTGACTTTTACTGTCCTGTTTTATCTTGTTTTGGTTTTCTATTCAACTATTTAAAAAAATAAATATTTAAATGTATTTTTAGAATTCTGTATGCTTTGTTTTATGTAAAGAACTTTCAATTGCCTTGTTGTTGAAATGTGCTGTACAAATAAACTTGCCTTGCCTAATTTCTTGAGATTGCTTGAAATTATCATGAAGTAATTTGTTTTTTTTTCCATTGTGATTTGTGCAAATGTGGATAAAACA